GGAGACAACTGCTACCATCATATAATTAATATAAATTAGCATATGTGATAAATTCCAGTTAATGATGTAATAGTGGACTCTTTAACTTCATAGATTTGCCTTGATCTGTATTGACCTACATGTACTCTGAATTAGAATGTTCAGTGACCTGTATTGATCTGACATTGCAGCCAGGGAGGACGAATGATTCGGTTTAGTATGCAAAGTAGACAAATAGATGATGTGATTCCGGATAATGACTAAAGAAAGGTCAGGTCAGCAAAGAAAGGTCGGAACAGTAAATTTTGTACTAACTGCATGTTTCGGTCTACAGCGCGGGATGCTAAGTAGTGATGATTTTGGCTCATCATCATATTTACTAAAAGGAGCATTGCACAGATCAAAAATGTAGATTTTTCAAAATTTTTGTTTTTCAACCAGGAGATTTTCTGGTCAAGAAATAATGTGTTCGATATGCCGTTGTGAGCTGCATACTTATATCTCCTCAAACGACATCTTTCTGTGAAAGATTTGAGCAGCTTGCAAATTAATGTAATTGCAATAAATTTTCTCACTTATAATGATTATTCCACATATCCTATGGCAATATCCATTTGTTAGCGATGTTAGAGAAATGTAAGCTGTTTTAATATGACACGGGATAAACCAATATGATTCCATTTGCTTTCTGAAGTAAAATAATGAATATCTAAAAATAACATCAGTGTAATAATGAGCCTACATGTCCTATCTCATCAATGGCTTGTTAGTCCATATGACTAGAAGGCAGACATTTTTACAAATGTGCTTATTCTGCCGCAGTGTTTGTTAAGAAGAACATAAAATGTTTCCATCTTGGTTCGTTATTCTCAAAGGAGACATGTGCTCACTTAGATTCTCAAATGACATTTCCCCATGTGCAGAGCTTTATACGTGCTTTGCTGTTTATGTTTAATATGCTATTTACATACACGTCATTTGTGGGTCTGTAGGCTTTGCTTTCTTGGTGACCACTAGATTATAACTTTAATGGCTTTTTTATTGCAATAACTTAAAAGAGGGACGATCACTTTTCTAGAAATTGTATTTTTTTTTTTTAAATAAATTTAAAAATCCCCTATAACTTGGGTTAACCTATTTTTCTGCAATACTCTGTGTTCTTTCTATATATAATTTTTAAAATAAATAGCAATTGAGATTGCAGTCCAGTTCAGGAAACGGCAAGGGGTAGAAATTAATGATTGACTGAGAGCAAAAATGGAGACCCTCAAAAACATATGTAAATATACCAGTGTTTATGTCGTTAATACTGCGTTTTCTTTAGGCCTCGGAAAATATATTTGTTAAATGTATGGGCTAAATAACAAAAAAAATTAAAATTCTGGGTAGACGATTTTTAGGAAGTCGATGGAGGGGTTTCAGTAATGCTGCGAACAATTAAGTTGAACTTTATAGGTTTAACCCCTTAAGGACCAAACTTCTGGAATAAAAGGGAATCATGACATGTCACACATGTCATGTGTCCTTAAGGGGTTAAATAGAAAAGCTGAACTTCATGAACACAAGTATGTTTTCAATCTATATAACTATGTAACTAAATAGTCCTAACATTCCTACTACACTAGTATATGGCGTGACAGATGTGGCACTATGACCTGGGTGTTTAAATAAAGCTTACAGGTCTTCCCATACACATAAACATTCAGTATGACGATTAACATGTAGGCTCCTTCACATCCCCTGCAGGCTTTTAGGAAGGCTTAATAGGCAGCTGGACCTGAGTGGATGAGTAATGTTTACAGCCTTTGCCATAAATGCAGGTTGTGCCTCATACTAACAATTTTATAATAAATGCGGTTTTAAAATACAGCTCTTTCTGGCGGTTGCTTCTACTATTTTGTTTCCAATGTATATGGGTTACTTGGCACTATTGTCCACATCTGAACATTTAAAACAAACTTGTGTTTTTATTAAACTACTTACCTTTCTGACATTTCCTGTTTATCTCAACTTAGCATCATTAGCCTTCCCTCATCAAGAGAATTCTCAAATTAGGAGTCCCACCACTGTGGAAATAATCTGTATGGGGACCTTTAGCTTACTTGTTACCTGTTTTATAAATATTATTTAATATTATTTAAGGGAGAATGATTTCAAACACATTTAAATTATCTTCATTTGTGGAATCTAGGATCTGTCTTGACTACAAAATAACCTAATTTCTCCAGCTCTGGAGTACGCTTCATTAATTATTGCGATCAATCTGTTTGGAGAGATAAGGGAATTGAGCAAACATTATCATTTGTGTAATCTTTTTACAGAAGAAAAATATCCCTGAGGAGTAACACAAACACACAAAAAATAATACTAATTTGAACACAGCTGCAAATAATATTGCCACAATTGTCTACGCACAACTTGGGTTCTGTCACGCTGACTTACAATTTAAAGACACAAATAGAAGATATTAACTTTAAAACTGACATGTTTAATTTTGTGAGTAGCTAATAACATAAACAAAAGGTTTTAAACCAATTAACAGTAGCCAGGAGTTTTCTTTTAAGGGTGCCTTATGCCATCTGGTGGCCATTTTATTTCCTCACCATATGTCCTATATACATTTCATTTGAGAAAATCTAATATTTTAATCGTGTTTTAACTGTTGGAGCATAAACCGCAGTATCAATCCAATATCTTCTTGAATCCATATCTTGTAGTATTGTTAACATTGTTTTCCTGTTGAGGCATGTTGAATAGCATTAATACAATTTAGTTAAATAGTTACATAGCTGAAAAGAGACGCATCCATCAAGTTCAGCATTTCTCACATCTGTTTTTGCTGTTGATCCAAAAGAAGGCAAAAAATACAATTTGAAGCACTTCCATTTTTGCAACAAATAAGGGGGCGGATCCTTATTGATCCAAGAATGGCAGTCATATCTCTCCTTGGATGAAGAAGCAATTACCCCACGATTTCAGAAATATTATATTTGTTTCCATCCATTTAATTTCAGAAGGTTTTAAAAGTTCTGTAGCACAAGGAAGGTTTTAAAAGTTCTGTAGCATTAACACTTATATTTTGGCAATGGATTCTGCAGAGCTTAAAGGGGAAATGCCACTTCCTATATTTTCTTATATTAAAAAAAAATTACATGTAGAAATCCACACCTCGTTGGCCTGCAACAGTGTGACTCCATCTTAGCTCCCTGTCATTCATTATTATAAGCTCATTCATGTCATGGTTATTTCTCATGTTGATTTGCAATATTTGCTCTGGCTTTGTCTTGTCTGCACTGTAATATGATGTTATTTGTGAAATCTTTAATATAAATTTAAAGGAAAATGACCATTTCATGAAAAGGTTATTTGTAGAGTCTTAAAAATTGTACTTAGTGGGTGTAACATGATTATAAAGACTTTTGATGTATTAGTCACTGGTGTAAATTTCAGAGAAGCAACAGTTCCACTTTAACACTTTCACAAAGGAGATATAAGAACAAATTAGAGACTAACTAGTGCAAATGTTAACAGGGACAAAAGGTTAATGAGGGCACTTACTGATTAGGAGATCTAAGAAGGGATTAGTTTTAGAATGTCATGTCATGAAACTAATAACAAGTGTATTCATATGTACATACACAATAGCCATGTTTTTATAAAATTCACCAAAGATAAAATACCATAAGATAAAAAGGATATTGCTTCAGACGAATGAGTTTAAAAGAAAAGCTTAAAGTGTTACTATAACCCTTAATTTTCAGTAAAACCTGGAGAAAAAAAAAGATATTCCTTACCTGGAATCCAGTGTCGGGCGAAGCACCCAACGCTGCTTTTCCAGGCCCCCTCTGATGTCACTGGAGCTACTCCGAGATCCAATCACAGGTCTGCAATTGGACCATATCACCAGCTCAGAGCGTGTGCGAGTGTTTTTTCATTTTTAAACCAATGTGGAACAGAGGGAGGTGGGACGGAGTACATTGTGGGCAAGATGCAGTAGAGAGCCAGCTTCCCCCTGCAGGAGCTCTGCTAGCAAGTGGAAGATTTTCACGTATATTGTCAGTGTGCAATGTGCACTGACCGCACACTTAAAGGACCACTATAGTGCCAGAAAAACATACTCGTTTTCCTGGCACTATAGTGCCCTGAGGGTGCCCCCACCCTCAGGGACCCCCTCCCGCCCGGCTCTGGAAGGGGAAAGGGGTTAAAACTTACCTTTTTCCAGCGCTGGGCGGAGAGCTCTCCTCCTCCGATCCTCCTCCTTCTCCCCGCCGGCTGAATGCGCACGCGCGGCAAGAGCTGCGCGCGCATTCAGCCGGTCTCATAGGAAAGCATTATCAATGCTTTCCTATGGACGCTGGCGTGCGTGACACTGTGATTTTCACAGTGAGAATCACGCAAGCGCCTCTAGCGGTGTCAATGAGACAGCCACTAGAGGAAATAGGGGAAGGCTTAACCCATTCATAAACATAGCAGTTTCTCTGAAACTGCTATGTTTATGAAAAAATGGGTTAACCCTAGCTGGACCAGGCACCCAGACCACCTCATTAAGCTGAAGTGGTCTGGGTGCCTAGAGTGGTCCTTTAATGTATTAACAGAATAAACAACCCTTTAATTTTTTTTTAACTAACTGTTGGCGGAAAATATTATCATGTCTATATTTACACCAGTAGCTATTGTACACTTTAATTAGTGATTATTATACATGGGTTTTTAAAATTGTTTTTATAAATCTATCAAAACTGAAGTTGCAGTTAGCTGCATAATTCAAAAATATAATGCATATAGATTTTATTTCACTGTTTTTTATTACTTATTTTTCTATTTCTTCTCTGCCAAGATTAAAATTGTAGCAAATAAACACCTTTGTTTATTAAACTGATATTGTGTTATAATTATAACAAAAAAAAAATGATCTCATTCCATGGAATCGCTTCCTTTACAATGCAATTTTTTTGATTTTATTTTAAACAAATTTAATTCAAATGTCATATATGAATGGATTACATCTACCAATTCTTTCTGCAGGTATGGTGACATGGTTCCAAAGACGATAGCTGGGAAGATTTTTGGATCGATATGTTCCCTGAGCGGCGTGCTGGTCATCGCCTTGCCAGTTCCTGTTATCGTTTCCAATTTTAGTCGGATTTACCATCAGAATCAGCGAGCAGATAAACGCAGAGCGCAAAAGGTCATATGAGATATATATTTTACACCGTTAGAATACACAAACATTTTCCATTTATTACTATTAAGAAAACTACTCTTTGAAATGGCAAATAATTGTCACCATTTAGGAAAAAAAATATTTTCCAAATAATATGTGAGACGATGACCCTCAAAGTGGACATGTCACCCTTATTGAAAAAAGTGCTCAGTGTAAATAGGCGCTTAGTGGAAATGCAAATTAAAAACAGCAGCTCAACACACGTGCAGGTATCCCAATCCTACACAAACAGATATGTGAAAAAAGAGTGTGAACTTCGTAGATGTACTACCACCACAAAGATCACTCTGTGGAGCGCTAGAGATAGGGAAATATCTTACCCCTATATAAATATCGTATATATCACTTTAACAGCATATATAATCTAGAACAGAGAAATACACATCATAGTGCAGAATGATTGTAAAATGTGTATGGAATGGAGGAGAGTGTAAGTCCAACTCACATGGCACAGAGCCTAAGGATTGGCTCAAATCACAACAGCTTGGGTATATTTAGGCAATACCAGACCTCCTCCCGATATGCAGCTCGCAGAATATATTTAAGAGAAAAGAGGTAGAATTCCTAGTGCAAATACGTATGGTAGGAAGAGTGATCACAAAAAATCATATGAATGTGCTCACCTGAAATAGAGCCGATAATATTAGGCTCTATATATATGCGCCACTGTTCCGACTGAGAAAGCCCCACGGCAAAACGCGTCTCGGATTTGAGGAAGACCACTCTGGAGACTTTTATTTTGGTATTTTACTGATTATAGCTTTTATCTATTACTTTGTTTTTTAAAATAAATTTGTTATTTTTATATATATACACCTGTGAGTGGATCTTCTACTGCTTCCTGTATTTCATCAAAGAAGGGTAGTGCCTCCCTTAAAGGCACAGTGGCGCATATATATAGAGCCTAATATTATCGGCTCTATTTCAGGTGAGCACATTCATATGATTTTTTGTGATCACTCTTCCTACCATACGTATTTGCACTAGGAATTCTACCTCTTTTCTCTTCCATATATTCTGCGAGCTGCATATCAGGAGGAGGTCTGGTATTGCCTAAATATACCCAAGCTATTGTGATTCGAGCCAATCCTTAGGCTCTGTGCCATGTGAGCTGGACTTACACTCTCCTCCATTCCATACACATTTTACAATCATTCTGCACTATGATGTGTATTTCTCTGTTCTAGATTATATATGCTGTTAAAGTGATATATACAATATTTATATAGGGGTAAGATATTTCCCTATCTCTAGCGCTCCACATAGTGATCTTTGTGGTGGTAGTATGTCACCCTTATTGCTCAGTGACAGTGTCTTCATACATTTCTTATAATTTATGTTTTTATTTTTCAAACATGCTAACTGTTTTTTTAAAGGTACTAAAATTACTAGTTATCATTGGACTTTTTGTAAATGCTGCAGAATTGCTAACCTGTCTTGAACTATGTTCTCTTCTCTGTCCATATTATGAAATGTCTTGGATGTACAACTGAACAAATTATAGATATTTATATTTAAAAATATGCTTTCTCTAGAAAAAAACACACATTATTGTTTACAAACTTTAGATGGCAGTTTAGCAAGGAAACAATTTAATTTTCTAAAACATATAATTTAGAGCAGGAAGATATTTTATTAGGGATAATTATTATGAGACAAATGCCACTAAAAATAAAGAACATATGGCTCTTACCAAACTAATATTTATGTACTTATTGTATTTATTAAGCTATGTTTATTTTGTGTTTTATGTTCCATTTTACTTTTTATTACCCCATAATACCTAAAACCGCTAAATAGTCCTACATGCCCTAAAGTGAATATTAAAAATAGGCAAAATTATTAAAGATAAGAAAAAAAAATGAATTGGTACCACTACTTCATCTAATGATCTACTGGATAACTAAAAAGACTGTCACCGACTAGTTACAGCACACCATCCACTGTTGTGCTGTGCCAGGACTGTTGACAGGGATACTTTGTAATGATTATGCAGATTTGACTTGTCTCTTGTCATGAAGGGGTTAGTTAAACTATCTATGGCCGGATTAGGAGCTCATTGGGCTTGATGCTGACAATTATGATGGGCCTAATTAGAGAATTTTAACGTCAGAAAACACTAAAACCGTCATACCTCTCAGCCGTCATGTATCTGGTGGAGGTGGTGCTGGAGGGAAACTCATAGGATGCATTTATAAGAAAACACATACCCTATGCTAATCTCTCACTCTCATCTCACATGAAATTGACACAAATCACGTAACTGGCACTGCCCAAAGGGGTGGAACTGCCTAGAAAGGTGGTGGGTCTGCCTGAAGAATTGAAAGGTCAGCCTGGTGTGAATGCATGTCAGACTGCCTGTCAATCATGCAGGCTGGCCAACTAAAAACGTACTATGCAGACAGCATCCCTTGCTTGGCGCAAATGTGTCTAATGATGCACTTGCTGTATGCTTTCTTGGAACAGTGCCCAAGCGCTCACTTACCTTATTGCTAGCAGGGAGACGCTCCTGGTATTCAGTATGGGATAGAAAGGTGGATGTAGTGAGTGTAGAATTAAGGGGACATGGCACAATGTTACAGAGACCATAGCAGCAAGATCATTTGCGCAGTGTATAAAGGCAGCTGTACCTTAACTAATTTCATCAGTAACACACAAGTTTTTTTCCCCGACATCCCCGTTACGTTTCCATATTTAATTCCCTCTACACAAAGCAAGAGCATATGAAGAGTAGTAATCATTGATTTATTTGATCAATGAGCCAAATCCATGGGCATGGGCCTGGAGCTTCAGCCCCCTACGTTAATCCAGCTCTAAGACAACCTTATTGGAAAAGTGAGTCTTCCAGTATGGTGTACAATCTTGGATATTTAAAACAAGGTGGTATTTTCTCTGGCATTTAAAGGGATACTGAAGCAGCTTAGAAAAAAATTAAAGGGACAGTCTGGGCACCAAACATGTTTAGCTGAATGAGGTGGTTTTGGTGTATAGATCCCCTAAAGCAGGCTTACCCAAACTCCAGCCATTCAGATGTTGCTAAACTACAACTCCCATGATTCTATGAATAAAATAGATAGGCTGAGAATCATGGGAGTTGTAGTTCAGCAACATCTGGAGGGCCAGAGTTTGGGGAAGCCTGCCCTAAAGTCTCACTGATCAATTCTATGCCATTTAGGAGTTAAATCACTTTGTTTATGCAGCCCTTGCAACACCCACCTTTGGTGAGACTCACACAGCCTCTCTTTTTGTACCGTGTGTTTAATTAAAAAATTCCTTATACTCTACTCTGCTAAAAGTCTGCTAGAGCCTGAAACTGTCTCATGTGAATGAGTTAAATTAAAAGAGCAGGCGATAACAACTTCTAAACTAAACACACTGTGCTGTAAGATCTGAATGAAAATGAAACTTTTTTTTTTATGGAGGTTATGTGAGTTACAGCCAGGGAAGGTGTGGTTAGGCCTGCATGCAAAAGTAATTTGACTCCTAAATAGCATAGGAGTAAATACAGTGAGGCCGCAATCTATACACCAGAACTTGTTAATTACGCTGTGTTGGTACTTATAGTGTTCCTTTAATTACATTTCATTGTTTTCATGTGGTGAGATTTGTGTACAGTTATGTATAACTAAGTAAATGCAGCATTTTTTATAGGATTCTTATTGCATGGCATGTGAGCGGACTATGACTATCGGTCCCAAGAACATTTACAATGCATCCATACAGACTCCTGCTATTGCATATTCCGAGAAGACCTGTGCATTAGTTTTCATTAATAAATATTTAACTAAAAAGCCAAAGTGGGGACATACTGTATTACTGTAATAAATAGAACAATTACTCTCTAACTTTTAACTAGAAGGTAGAAACTCCAATGCTGAGGTAATTCATCAGACGTATGAGACACTAGGGGATCATTTATGAACAGAGCAATTTGCCTCTCTACCAAACCAGATGTCAAAGTCCTTGCAGAGCAGCTTTATTTTTAAATGAAAGGCACAGGTAAAGAATTAAACACCAAAAAGAATTGCATTACTGGAATTTTCCTGGGAATACCTTGAAAATTAATTTTTACAAAATCAATTTCTTACTCATTTTATAGCCGTCTAGAATTGTAATTTTCAGCATCTTTGGAATTGGCATTTTCCTTTAATTATGTCAACATTTTTGCAGGGCATTACGATATTGTGCATATTATGCTGTTTTTTATATATATATGTGTGTTTTTTAATTTTTTTATTTTACAGAAAGCAAGGCTTGCGAGGATTCGGGTGGCTAAAAGTGGAAGCGCTAATGCTTATTTACAGAGCAAACGCAGCGGTTTATTAAATGAAATTCTACAGGTGATGTACCTTTCTTGTTTTCCCCATGCTCTATATTTGCTGTATCTAAATGCACTTCTAAAGTCACATGAAAGAGAGCCTTTGCTTATCAAAGTATCAAAAAACAAGTTTCCCTGAAGCATATTGCATACTAAATCTCAAATGCAAGTGAATAATTGAATATAACAGTAACTAGAAAGCTAAAGACCATTTATAATTGATGACTGAAAATTGTATTTCAGCTCAGTTAAGCTCAGGAACAGAATGTTCTAGAGCAAAATGTGTTTTTGTATCAAGAAAACTGTTTCATCCATCATATGAACAGAGCTTTGTAGTTAATCTGAAGCAATTATCTTGCAATGCCTCATTCACATGTGAGTGCTGTGAGGGAACACTTACTCTGGAGCAAAAATAAAAAAAGAAGTGCAGGTCGGTAATTGCACCTATCCTGCCACTAGAGAAGAGAGGACTATGGGTAGCTGCCTTACGTTACAATACCAAAATATATTACGTAACAGTATTTATTTAGTATTATTGTTTTCTAGTTCTCGCAGTATTAGTATACCTTAAGAAAGGTTTGTTTGTAATTAC